CCCAGAGCTCGTCCTCTGCACGCCTGGGACTCTGTTCCACGGAGCAGTGCTCACTGTTCCCTCGATGCTGTCGCCGTACCTTCCTGTCTAGGAGGAGGCCCTGAGTTGCATCCTGCTTCTGTGTGGTGGTGCCAGGCCCTGTTGTTACCGTATCGCGTGCAGACTCGCGCCTGCGGCCCAGACCAGAAATGGGTGGTAGCTGCGTGAGCACCGCACTGGCGCGCACCACACACAGCGGGGACCTGCGGCAGGTGCTCCTGGGGAAGGTGAGCGCTCCAGGTGAGGACGGCAGGTCCTACTCGACACTGATGAGCGTGGTGCCGTGCGCCTGGACGAAGCAGACTCTGACTTTGGAATAAAGACTCAAATCCATTTCTAAACGTGATCACTTAACGGAGAACTTACCTCCTTCTGTGCTTGTCATGCTCACCTGCAATGGCCCCGACGGCGCCTGGAGGCCGTCCCGGGGTGGGCGTGGCCCGGCGCCGGGATGTGAGTGGAGTGCCCCCTGGTTCTCGCCCGCCCTGCCTCGGGTGTCTGGGCAGACTGAAAGCGGCAGGAGTGCAGCGAGCTGTCCCTGCTGCGCCCAGCTCTGTGCGCTGGGCGTCTGGAAACCCCTCGGGGGCACGGCTGTGCGGGCTCGTGCCAACCAAGGTGGCCGCAGCGCTGAACACGGACGCAGGACAGACGGTGGCGACGGCACTCGGAGACACGCCGTCGGGGGACGCGCAAGGAAGGTGCTCGGCCTTGTGACTTGGAGTCAGACAGGGTTGGCGACGTGGCCATTATCTTCAGCTCTCACTGCAAACCGAACTGGGGGGACGGGAAAGCCCGCTGTCGGGGAGATTGGTAGCCACTGGCACCTGCACGGGCCTCGCGGTTCATGAAGCGCGCCACGGTAACCGGAGCCTCGCGCCGTCGGCCACGTGGGCGTCTCATTACCATCACCGTCGTCACCGCTTCACCGCCGTTGCTGCTTGACAGACGACGAGCTGGACTGTCTTCCAGACGCCCAGGCTCCATCTTTTCCAGCTCACCGCTCGTTAGGAAAAGTAATTAGAAACATGTATCACGAGTCAGAAACGTGTCGGCGGTGTTCGACCCAGTAATCACTCTCCTGGGATTCCACCCAAGGAAAACCTCGGAGCGGGACGCGTCTCCCACAGCGCGGTTCCTGACGCCGGGACGCCGGGAGCCGCCGGAACTGCCCGGAAGTGGAGACGCGGCCGTGTGAATCACCTGCACCCGGTCCATAACGGGTTGTGTGTTTAAAATTACTAGGTTACGGCGCAGTGTCCAGGTGGGGGTCGTGTCCAAGAGTGTGTTGTGAAATGACGCCTTATCTGCGGCCCTGAGTCAGGAGAGAGAGTGCTGTGTGTAACGTGAGGCTGTTTATGTAAGACGGGGTCTTCGTAGACTTCTAACCCTGTCACCTCTGCGTCTGTGTCGCTGTGCAAGATGACCTTTGAGGAGCTCGTACGTATGACGGGAGACCCCCACTTTCCCCTCCGCGTCAGAATGGAGTGAGTGGGGGGAGTCAGAATGAAACAAACTGTCCCCACGCTTCAGTCTGCAGCGGGCCCTCGCGCTCCAGGACTCGACCCCCAGGCACGGCCGCCCTCGCCGCGGGTCTGCGGTTCCGCTCCCCGGTGAACAGCAGGGAAGACTCTTCACAGCAGAAGACGCACCGCAGCCGGAGACACGTGAGCCCCGCCTTGGTGGCAGGCGTGCAGAGCAGCACCGCTTCACAGGGACAGGGGCACGCACCACCCCGCCAGGAGTCCCGGGCACCTGCCTCCTCACGAGAAGGGACCGAATGTGACCTCGGGAAGAATCCTCTCCCCCTGGGCCCCGGGCTGCCAGCAACGCAAACAGGCAAATGGGTGTGCCCCTGGGCAGTGCCGTGCCCATTAGCATGGCCTCTGAGGTCCCGCCCCAGGTCGGGCAAACCTGGCCTGCCCGGCACACGCAGCGGGGGCGTGGTGCAAGTGCGGGTGGGCGGTTGCACAGGGACGCCGCTCAGCCCGCCCCAGTGTCCACTCCGCATGTGCTGCCGTGCGTGGGTCCTCGTCCTGTGGCTGGGACGCTTTTCTAACTCCAGAGCCCGCGCTGGAAACCAGTCACGCCCACTCGCTGGTGGAGTGAACCGTCCATCCCCAGTTCCTCCTGTACACGAACCTCCGCGTCCCCTGTCGCCGCCCAGGGTCGCTGCTCTGTCTCGGGTGATTTAACCGACCGGTCGGCCGAGTGGAGTGCTGAGCGCCGTTTTCCCGTGGAAGCCGCCGGTCAGTCAGGTCCTGACTGTGAAGCGGACCAACATCGGGACGACGGGCATGGAGCAGCGAGCACTTTAAAAGAAATGATTGTTGATGAACTTGTACTTGGGTGCTCCGAAAAGCCTGTTTCCGAGTGTATGTTAGAAAGCCGGCACGGGCTATTTTTAATACAATAATCCCACGGCTTGAAAGAGGAGTCGGGCCTTTGATGGCGCTGGGCGGCTGGAAACACGCTCGCTCAATGGAGGACCAGCGTCTTTTTCATGCTTGTGCGCCCGCCGTCGGTCCGGCAACACACTGCTACGCATTCAGATGTGGCTGCCACACTCGCTTTGAAATGCAAATTGTTTAAAGAAAAATAGCGCACGGCGGAGGTAAATACCTTTTCAAATCGGCTCGTACGCTTCAGGGCTGCACCGAAAGCTAAAATTATTCCGTGGGAGGAATCAGGCGCTTCTGACCCAGGGAAGCCTCACTAATCAGGGCGCCCCCCGAGCACACGCTCATCCATACCAAGGGGGGCCCGGCCGGGATTAGCCTGGTAATGGGGCCGCCCCCGCTGGCCCAGCCGGAAGCTCCGTCCCCGCGTGGGGTGCGTGAGGAATCCGGGTGCGCTAGAAGTTGGCCGTGTGTGTCACGGTGACCCAGACGACATCGGGGGAGATGCTGAGACAATACCAGAGGTCCTGCTGGGACCCCTGTGGACACCAGGGTCCCAGACTTCGGAGGGCTGGGCCGTTCTTTGGGGCTTAATGCTGATGGAACTGTCTCCCACCCAGCCTGACCTAACTCACAAACCATTCAAATGACCATTCTTAGCTCTGTTTTTTTGGGAGAGGGATAAATATAATGTCCACATAGAAAGTGCAAAACTGTAAGTTATACCTGAGTTAGGTGCACGGCGGGGGGACCCGCACACAGCTCAGGAAGCAGCAGCTGGCCAGCGGCCCAGGAAGCCTCTGGGGGCCACATCCTGTCACTGCCCCCCCCCCACACACTGAGAACACACACACACACTGAGAACACACACAAAACACACCAAAAAACCTACACACAGAACACTCAGACACATAATACACACAAATACACATGCACACACACTCAGAAGGTGTACACATTTGCTCACAAAGCACTCACACTCGCAAAATACACACACCCACCCTGGAAAGCGACGACCATCGGCTCCCTCGCCCCACAGGTGGGTCGTGCCTGCTGCCCAGTCTCTGTCTTGGGGACCCGAGCGCTGGCGCCCGCCCGTTTGCTTCCTGCTCCCCGCTGGTCCCCCACCCCCCCACCCCCCCGCCGGTGGGGCAGTCCCGCCGTGTGGCCCGGGTCATTGCTGCTCGCCCGTCCCGCAGGTGGGCGGCACTCCCCGGTGGCACCCCCCAAGGCCCCCGTGGCGGATGGGCACTGCAGCCGTTCAGTGCCGCCGTGAACACTCTCAGCCAGGGTCTCTGGTGGGCGTTCTTGTGCGAGACCGTCTGTGCGGCTTTGCTTCGCAGGGGGTGGTGTGAAAGCGGGAACCCAGACGGACGGACTGCGGTTCTGTGGGGCCTCCTGTCAGGCGAGCCAGTCAGAGGAGCGGGGGCCTGCCTGGGTCACACAGTGTCCCTCTCCCTCACTGTCCCTGCGGAGACGGGTCGGTCCCCAAGTCTGAACTCTGCGCGCAGGGCCCTTGGAGTCTCCCCTGGGCCCCCCGGCGGGCGCCACCCCCTGCCCCTCACTCCCATGTCTTCATGGCCCCAGTGTCCCTGACCGTGCGTCTTGGCCACGGGCGGACCTGTCCGATCCTCTCTGGGGGACCAGACTGGAGCCTCCCTGAGGACAGCACCTCCGAGGTCGGCCCCAGTTGCCGGGGGTGGGGACCAGCACCCCCACCTGGGGGGGAGAGGGCCCAGACCCACATCCTCCGGCTCCCAAGGGTTTGTTTGCAGAGCAGTTGAATACGCAATTGGAAACTTAATTGGTTCTAAGCTGAAACAGTTGGAGGAAAGTTTAAAAAAAAGAAAAAACCTGACACCTTTGAAGATCCGCATGTAGATCTTACAAGTGAATTCACCGGCAGCAAGGTGTGTCCGGCTGAGCTTTAGACGGGGCTCTGGATTTCGAGTCCACACGCAGAGTGACCAGGCAGCCATCCACCCTGGCGCGGAGCGGTTGGTTCAGACTGCCACGCGCACGGCGGCAGTGTCCTCTGTCTCGTGCTCCTGCGCAGGGAAGCGTCTGGGGGGGGTTTCCTCTGCTTCGCCTCTGACCTGGTGGCGGCGTCCGCGTTCCTCTCCACGTCCTGTCTGGGAACTGCCGTGTGTGTCGACTGTCAGATCCACCTTCCCCGAGGAAACAGCCCCCTGCCCCCAAACCGACTCCTAGTGGACGACCACTTTCACTTCCGTCCGTCGATGCTGACACTGGGGCTCCTGGAACGCCCACCCGGCTGTCTTTTCCATCGGGGGGGTCTTCTGCCTGCCCCTCGGCCCCCTCCAGAGATGGCAGCTGTGCCGTGCGTGTCTTCGGGGCTGTCCTGGGCGTAGTCATCGGAGGCATGAGACCCCTTCACCAGGGTATGCTGAGCGCCCAAGGTTCAAGACACCCCCTTTCACACGGGCAGGACGACGGCTCTCGCCCACAGCCCGCCGCGTGCAGGCGCGTGGGCCCCCAGACTGCCTGGAGCCGGCTTCTGGGGTCCGCGGCCCGCGAGTGTTCACCTGACTTGTTTGTTCCTAGGGACTGTCACTAGTGCGTCCGGGCCCCAGATGGCCGGCGGCGTCAGCCTGGGCTCCTTCGGCAGCCGGCCGGACGGCATGCAGCAGCGGTCCTACTCCGTCTCCAGTGCCGACCAGTGGAGCGAGGCTACGGTCATTGCAAACTCGGCCATCAGCAGTGGTAAGAGAGGACGCGGCCCCGCGGCCCACTCACGGCCCTTGGGTGCAGCCCAGGGGCTGGACGCGGCGCCCCGAGCCCCCCGCAGTCCGCTCTGCAGGCAGCACTGAGGGGGCAGCTCAGCCACCTGCACACCTCGCCTTGCATCGTGGAGCATTTGTCCGCGTCGGGCTGTGTCACCCACATCAGCTCCTTTGCTCCTCTCCGGGGCAGGGAGGAGTAGCTGTTCACGCCCACTTGACAGACCAGGAAACTGAGGTGCAGGCAGACACGGCAGGCGGCTTGCTCAGGCTCCTGGGACCCGCCGGTGGCCGCAGGGCTGATACAGAACATCAGTTTTCTGCCCCTGACCCCACTCCCTGCACCTCGGCCTCTGCTCCCTGTGTGGGTGCTCCTTCTGTGTCGTTTGGGGTGTTTTCCATCAAAGGAAAACACACAATTTCTTCTTCCATGTCGTTTCCCAAGACTCTTGCTGTATCTCGGAGACCATGGAGGCTCTCCCCACCCTTTCTGTGCAGCCAGCTTTTTGGGAGACACGTGCGCAGCCTGGAGACTGTCCTGCCGTGCATGACGGGGACCCCAAAAGAGCCCCGCATGTGGCCTGGCCTGTGGCGGCCGGTTCCCGGTGGCTGAAGGCGCTCTGCCATTGTACGCCTTCTGCCGGACGGGGCTGGAGTGATGGCGGCCTAGTGCTCTGGAGTGCCGCTGGCAGACACCAGGCCCGCGGGCCGAACCCGGCCCCCCGCCTTGTTTAATTCGGCCGGCGCCTTGTTTCCGCCCGGCTGCAGCACCAAGCTCTCGCTGGCCTGTTCAGGAACAGTGACATTTATGCAGCCCCAAAGTTAAACTCCGCCCTCAGAAGGCGACCTCAAGGTCGCCTCAAGGCGGATGTGGCCCCCGGTGAACGTGAATTTGGCGCCCCCGTCAGAGACACAGCTTCAGGCCCTCCCTGTAGACCCAGCGGCCGCCGCCGCAGTGAGCACCGTCGGTGACTCTGGCCGCCCCACGCCAGCATCCAAGAAGGACGTCCCCCGACAGAGCCGGGAGGAGACGTGGAGTCCAGAAGGGCCACCGCCCCCGCGGAGGCCGGGTGGAGAGGGCCCGGGGAGGCGGTGACTCGGCGTGGGCGGGTCCTGGCACCTGTGCCCGCAACCCGGCCCCGGAGTTGGGGGGAGGGGACACTGTGCTCTCCCAGAAGGCACTTCCGGAAGTGGCAGAGGTCACCTCCACCCTCTCCAGGGACTCTCCAGGCCTTCTGTCCCCTCCGGAAATCGTGAGGATCTTGGAGCACTCCGATGGGGGGCTCCGATGTCACTGTGAAGGCCTCCCTTGCGGAGGGACCCATGTGCACCCCCACCGTTGTCCCGGAGGCCTCGGCAATTCCCCCGCCTCCTCAAGCCTCTGTGTCCTCCTGGCTGCGGCGTGGGGTCCTCGGGCGCACAGCGCACGCCTGCCCCGTGTCCCCCGCCCCGAGTGTCTGCTGTGGGCGTCAGAGTTCCGTGCTGGGGGAGGAGCATCGCACTACCAGGCACGTTGGAATGCACTGATCTTTCAGTGTTACCGGCTGACGGGGTCCATTCTGTCGCCATCTCTCCGCGGAGGTGGGCGCCTGCGTCGGCAGGTGGGGGGACCTTGGAGCCTGGGGGCGCACCCCGCCACGGCCCTGCCTTCTGAAGCGTGGCCTCTGAGCAAGAGGCGCCGAAACGCCGACACAGCCTGGTCCGAGTGCGGCTTCTCTGTCCTCCCCTCCGTGCTGTGGGGTTGCCGGCGGGCGCCGGGGGTTCGGAAGACCAGGTTCCGGCAGCGTCACCCCACCTCCCCTCCCCCGCACTCAGAGCATGTCTGTGGGACGGTGCTGGCGGCAGCAGCACGGGAATCCGACATCCACCCCGCTGGAGCGTCCGGCTGCACAGTCGAGCCCCGGACAACGGCCCGCCGGCTGCCTGGCCCTCCCCCCACAGCCCTTGGCATCCGTCACCCCTGCGCGTGATTGCCGCACCCCGCCACCACATCCTGCCGCCACCACATCCTGCCGCCACATCCGGAAAAGACGGCGTTTCCAGCCCCCGGCCCTCCCACGGAGGTTGCTCAAGGCGCACCCACATGCACCTCTACCAGGACAAGCACGTGCAGACACCGTTCTTGGACGACAGAGCGATTTCTCGTGCGTCGGAGCCCGCGGGCCTCCGCTCGTAACGCACGTGGCCGTTGCTTGCAGACGTGTGAAGCTCCCCAGTGTGGCAGAGCTGCGCCCCTGGACACGGGAGGCGAGAAACCCAGGTCTGCGGCCCGGTCTCCGCCTGCCGTGGAGCGATGCCGAGAGAAAGCCGGGCTGAAACCGCGCGGGCCGAGTTACCCAGGGAGAAAGTCCCGAAGAGCGTCAACCTGAGCACAGGTGCTGGAGGAGCCCGGTGGGGTTTTTGTGCAAAGCCGCAGGAGGAAGTCGTTACCCGCATCCAGGCAGCTCGGACAGAGACTCGGCGAGGAGGCCGGGGGAGGGGCGAGGACCAGGAGCTGCAGCGAGGTGGGAGGTGGGAGGCGCAGGAGAGCCCAGAATTGCAACATTAACCGACACCTTGTTTTAACACGGACAGCTGACATTTGAAACAGCAAAACCCAGAAACGCGACAGAAGGATTGTTCCTCCGGGTTTTCAGGCTTCTTCCCGCACGCCTGTGGTTTCTAAGTGTCGGCGGGATGTCGTGCCGAGCCAGTGCTGGAAGGGAGCCAGTGGCAGGGGTCATGGTGAGAGCCACTGCCCGTTGGGGGCTTCCCCTGGCCTGCGCCGTCTGGCCCTCGGAGCAGACGCTGCCGTGGGTGCCCTCTGCCTGCTGGGCGGACACTGGTGCACAGAGATTCAGTAACGTTCGTCCTGAGTCATGTCCGGCAAGGGCCGGGACGCAGGCTCAGGTGGCCTCATGCCATACCCTAGCTGTCCATCGGAGGCGCTGCCTAGGCAGGTGGCAGCGGCGTCCCCTGGGGGCTGGCCGGCCGGGAACCCAGACTCTCAGGCCCGGTTCGGACCCACCGCGTGCAGAACAGGAGGGGCTCGGCGCTGTGCGTGGTGGCGAGCCCTCCGTGGACGGATGCGGAAGCTTGAGCGCCGCCCTCTTAGCTTCCGCTTCCCAGGCTGCTCTTGGACCATGTGATGCCGGGCAGCCCCCGGGAGCTGGCTGCGATGCGGCGTCCCGGCGCCCCCGTGAGTTACTGGATCGGGGCTGCGAGTCACCAAGGTCCCTGGTCTACTGGGGCCCCCCCCCGGGGGGTCGAGAAGCCCCGACTGCCTGCGGTGGGGGTAGCGTCCCGGCCTCCCGCCGTCACCGGTTCCGCCACGCGGCCGGACCCAAGCCATCTCTCACGAACACCAGGGCACGGGGTCTGACGGACGGCTTCAAGGGAGCGCGTTTGTGAAGGGATTTCAGGACCCCCACGCGGGCCCCAGCCTCCCCTTCCGCGCGTGGAAAATAGCCCCAGAAGACGCAAGCAGGATGGGGCGCTCTCCGCGGCGCGCCCCTTTTCAAGCAGCTGTGGATGCGGACCCCGCCCTTTTTTTTTTTTTTTAATCATTTTTCTCTCTCTACCCTGAGTCTTGGTTTGGATGTTGCCGTCATGAAAAGCTTGCGCGGCGCTAGCAGCAGGGACGCGAGGAGCTAAGCAGCTTTTGAATTCAAATGCCCGTGCATCAGTGAATATGCTTTTATTGTAAAACCTAATAATAATAACAACATTGAGATCCCATTTTTCTCCAGCCCGGTGTCCGCACTAAATTAGGACTTCGGCTCCGGAGAACTTTTCAAAGTCTTCCCGGGTGGACGCGGAGGTGCCCCGGGGGTTTGCGTCTTTCAGCAGCTGTGAGCAACTCCTAATGAGACAGATCACTTTGTAGTGCGCGGAGCCGCAAAACAGGAGGTTCTGGTTAAATGAGGGGGGGAGGAAGGGAGAGGCCGCCCGTGCCCTGGAATTCCCCACTGCTTTACGACCGCGGCCGCTCCGAGGCTTTGCATTTAAGTACCTGCGGTTGAGAATTAAATGTCTAATGTGATTTGGCGTCGCGAACATGAGGCCGCATCTGCCCCGGGAGAAAATCCAGACAGCTCCGCTCGGGGTTTCAAATTGCTGTCTGCGGCTCCCGGGCGGCGGCGGGGTCCCCCCTTCCGCGGGGAGCCGCACGCGGCTCGGCGTAATTTTTTAAGCTCGGGGACGTGTTCATCTTGGGCCTCCGCATGGAGGAAGGCCGCTCCCGTGGTCCATGAAAAATTAATTTTTTTACATTTTTTCTCACTCCCCTAAGTGTTTGACAGAAGTAATTTTTGCAGCGAGAGGGAATAAAAACTGGTGGCCGTAAATTCCTGTCCGGGAACCTCTTGTGCAGATTCTTTACGGACCCGGAATTGATCTGCCCGTCAGGGCCTGTTGTGGCTCCGACCGTTCATCACCCTAACGGCAGCGGGGAGCCCGCGCCCACCCCCTCGTAATCCCGGTGAAAGGCCCCGGCGTCCGCAGCCGGTGGGGGCAGCTGAGCTTTATTGACAGATGCGGAACAATTATCTCCGCGCCCGCCATTGGCCGAGGCTTCTCTTGAATCTTACTGGGAGCGTGTGATTTTTCTTTTCCTTTTTGATTAATCATTTTCCCTATAGGTGATTCTCTCTCGAAGCGCAGGCCCGGGGTTAGCATCGCCGTGGGGAGCAGGGGCAGACCCCCGGGGGCCGTTAGTAGCGCACTCGGCCATCATAGTTCACTCCAAGGCCAACTGCCTGTGCAATGCATCATCATCCTCCTCCTCACACCTGCGCTGGGGCCGGGCGCGCGGGGGACTCGGGAGTGCCAGCCTTGGCCCCGGGGCCGCAGCCGAGGCTGCTGCTGGGACGGCCGGGCGTCCCCGCCTCCGGACTGGCAGGCTGTTCCGCGGGCCCCACCCCTGCGCCGATTGCTTCGTCCGGGCTGTTCATCATCCCCCGCCCTGACTGGCCATCACCGTCAATATCGCCTTCCTCCCGACGG